GCCATGACACCTCCGGGAGTTGCAGGGTGGGGGACACAATGTCCTCTTTCTCTCCCACACCCGGCCCGGCCCCTCCCGTCCGTCTCCCGCAGGCCCAGCCACAGTCGACCGGCTCCGTCCGCGGGCGTGGTTGGCTCCGGCGGCGGCGGCGGCGGCGGCCGGGCCTCCGCGAGCCCTGGCCCCTCCCGCCGGCCAGGCCCCCGGGCCGCCGCCCCGGACACCGAGGGAGCGCGGAGAAGGAAGGGGGAGCCGGGGGACTGACCGGCGACAGGAGTCGCCTCAACCCCGGCCCGGCCGCCCCGCGCCCCCCGCTCCCTCCGGGGTGGCTCCGGCTCCCCGCCCCTCACTCACCCCCCCAGTCCAGCGCCTCCTCCACCTCCTCCTCCTCCTCCTCCCTCCTCTCTGCCGTGGCTCCGGCTCCGGCTCTGCGCGGCGACGGCGGCGGCGGCGGCCTCGAAAGCGGCGGCGGCGGCGCCTCCAGAACGCGCACGCACGCAGCACGCAGCCCCGCCCCCTGACCACGCCCCGCCCCTCCGAGTCCGCGTCGGCGAGGTTTTGGCCCCGCCCTCCCCGCCGCTTTCCGGACTCCGCTTAAAGGGGCCGCGCAGGAAGGGGTGGGGAGAGCAAAGGACGGTGGGGGAGGTGGGGGCTGTCGTGGCTTAGCGGAGGATGGGATGTGGGGTTGCGGCCGGCCGGAACTGAACTGAGGAAGGGTCCAGAGATTCAGGAGTAGAACCTTGGAGGAAATGCAGTCGTTCGACAAGTACTAATTGAACACCTAGTAGGTGCCAGGCACTGTCCTAGGCGGTAAAGCCACACATGGGCAAGCAGGGGCCTGCCTTCTACTGGGGTAGGAGAGAGGAGACAGACAACAAACAAGGGAACAAAAATTTCAGGTATTGATAAGTGGTGTGAAAGAAATAATGTCGGGAAACGGGTGACTTTATCGCCGAGCCGGTATTGCCAGGCCAGGGAGACCTATGAGCACATGCACGAAGGGTAGGATAGGCAGGGGTAAGCCTAGCAAATAAATACGGCGGAGGGGAGGGCAGCCTTTCCAAGCTGAAATAAACCAGCATAAGCTCAGGTGGGAATATGCCTGGCATGTCCGAGGAATCAGCGGGCCAGAGAGCAAGCTGTAGGCTGAGAGGTGGGCAAGTGACCAGATCCCATGAAGCCTTATACGCATTCATAACAGCAACAGAAAGCCATGGGAGGGTGGGCAGAGCAATGACAGCGACTTGCAGCCCTTACTGGTGTGGCTCAGTTGGTTGGAGCATCCTCCCTTGCACTAAAAAGTTGCTGGTCAGGGCACAAGCCTGGTTGTGGGCTCCATTCCCTGCAGGGGACCTGCAGAAGGTAGCCGATCGATGCTTCTCTCTCCCCCTCTCCCTTCCTCTCTAAAACATCAATAAAAAAATATTTTTAAAAGTTACTCTTGCTAATGTGTGTAAAATACACAGAGAGAAGCATGGGTGTCCTAAGGGAGACCAGTAAGGAGGTTGCAGTAGATTGGAATAGGGTGGGGGCAGAGAAGGGGTGAGAAGAGGGCTATTCAGACACGTTTGGAACAGAAATGGATTTGACAGTGTGTGTGAAGGAATGAAAAGATCATGGATGATTCTTAGGTTCAGGGCCTGAAGGAGGGGTAAATGGTGGTGCCATTTAATGCGTTCCGGAGGACTCAAAAAGAAAATACGGGCGGCGGGAGTAGGAATTCTGTGCTGTGCATGTTACATAAGGTGCTTGTTACCGGTCCAAGCGGGCACGGTGAGCCAACAATTGGATATATGAGTGTGAAGATACTAATTTGAGATTCATCAGCACAAAGACGCTTTTTAAGCCTTGGGCTTACAGAAAATCACTTAGGGAGGGAGAGTCGCTGAGGGAGAGAGCAACAAGGAACTCCAACACTTGGAGATGAAGTAGAAAAGGAGGAGGAACAGTTGGAGAGGCTGGAATGTGGGAAGATAAGCATTGTTTTCAGGAGGTAGGAGGGATCAGGCTTATCAAACTGATGACATGAATAAGATGAGATCTGAGAGTTTGAAGGCTGGCTTTGGCCTGATGAAGGTGGCTGATGTCCTTGACAAAAGCAGTTTCAAAGGGGTCATCGGGGAGAAAGTCTGATTAGGGCGTGTTAACAGCGACTGGGAGGTGAGGAGGAGAAAGTGTTTGCAGCGAGTCTGAAGAGCTCTAGAAGAGCTTTGCTGTAAAGAGCAACTGAGAATCCGCCCGAAGCCCGAGGATTACTTGGGACCAAGGGAGGGTATTTAAAATGGGAGATGTTTCCTCCCGGGTATGCTGGATCATTCTCTAGGGCCAGAGGGGTGGGGGTGGGGGTGGGGGTAGAGTGATGGGGCAAAAGAGGAGACAGCTGGAGAAAGATTGTCCTGGCACAGGGGAGAAGCAATGGCCCTAACAGAGAAGTGTAGGGATCAGCCGTGGCTAGGAGCTAGGACAGTGTGTTCACCCACTAGTTTTGGAGAGAAGGCACGTCTGTGGGTGGCATGTGAGGTAGTCCATTGGGTGGCATGCTCAGGCTACCGTGGAGCAGAAGGGGGGCAGGTGGGAACTGAAATCCAGCCCCTGCTCTGCCAACCAGACAGCGAAGCCACATCAACCGGAGGAAGGGGTACCTTTTCTAATGGCTCCACGTAAAGGGGGGTGCCTTTTAGCAATCACACACACTCGCACACACACAGTGCACCCTTTCCCGGTTGGTACTCACTAGGTCTCACTGGGATTGATGAGGGAGGTCTGGGCTGTATGCTTTTACTCTATGTAATAAAGCTGTGAGTTGGGAGGGCCTATTGGCTGTTTGAGCAGATGGGAGAAGGTGAGGGAGAACGCCCTTGAAGAGTGGAAGAGTTACTGGGGAAGTGTAGCAGTCGCGACAATGCTGAGGGCCCTCTTGAGTTGGGGGTCCTCTCTTTAAAGAGACCACTCTGCAGGGTTGGGCGGTTTTTCTCCAGCCACATTCCACTGCTGGGTTGGAGGGGTGGGGGTGGGGGGGAGTTGGATGTGACCAGGGCTGGGGTTTGCTGATGAAGGCCAATGAGAGGGGGAGGGGAAGAAGGAGGGGAGTGGTCATAGCCTTGGACCTTGGCATCTAAGCTGGGAGGGAAGAGGGCACGTCAGAGAGAAGTGGGGCCAATGGCTCAGTGGTCCCTGTGGGAAAAAGCAGTTCAAGAGGAAGCAATCAAACAAGTGGAAGCAAGGGGACTTTCCAAGGACCAGGCATGGGGAAGGGAGAGGGGAAGTGAAGGTATCTGATTTCTCCTCTCCTCTGAAATCCCACTGTTTGTTTTTACTTCTATGCTGCTTGTCATGTATTTTGTGTATTTTTTTATTCCCATTACTAAATAGGCCTCCTTACAGGTCCCCGTGTTTTCATTGCTAGTGTCCTTTGCAGTGTCGGGCTGGTGTCGTTACAGCCGCTGCATTGAGTTGTACACTTTTGTGGAACCAAGAGCAGCATCGCTAACCCTCAGTGAGAATGTCTATATCCCTGGGAGAAGCACAAAGCAAAGCAAGCAGCAGCCAAAAAGCAATTATTTCATGGCACTCCTGTCACAACTGAGAGTTGGGAGGCCAAGTTTGACGCAGAACTCTTGGAAATGAAAAGGAAATGAATGAAAGAAGAAGAGAAAGCAGGAAAAAATAACTTAAGTGGGAAACAGCTATTTGAAACAGATCATAATCTTGACCCATGGTATCCAGTTCTTGGCAGAGGCTGGAAGAATGTGGAGGTAGATGAGTCTTTATTCCGGGAAATGGATGAGTCGGAGCCAGAGGATGACGAGGACCGAGACAGTGACTTCACCCACCAGGGACTATCCCCTTGTCAGAGAGGCGTGGCTGCCACAGCATCTGTGCCTATGCTGAGGGGGTGTTGGTTTTTCTTTTTATTTTTTTCCTAAGAAAAAATAATTTTCAGGGGAATATTTTCCTTATAACTTTCAGCATTGATCTTAATAAACTGACCTTAAGTAAAAACAAAGCCATGAGATTTTCTAACATGAGGTTCAAACTTTGGAAGAGAACAAACTGGCTGTATTTCTTTTCCTTCCAGATGCTCCCCAAACTTAGGGTGCTTTTACCACTCAGTTCTAGCTTGGAATCCTAGAGAGCATGATGTGCTTAGAAATGCCCGGACCTGCACAGCTACTCCTGGGGGCCATTTATGGAAAAGGCCTTTAAGGACCATTCAGATTGTGAAACAGATCGATAAAAAGAGGCTTCCATCTAATGAACCTTTAGAAAATGTATTTTTAGACCTCCGACTCTTAGAAACCTGTAACCCAAGAGCAGAATTACATCTGCCATGGCCTGCCATGCCTAATGTACTTTTCCTATCGGTGCAGTGATTTCAAGAGCAGGTACAATCTTTACCAGATTTTAAATAAAAATATACTATACACATGCAGTTAGTACCTGACACACATTTATTCAACAAACCTCCGTGGAGTGCGTGCTACTTGCCAAGCACTTGTGCTTGTTGCTGAGGATGCAAAGATAGGAAAGATACGGTCCCTGCCTTCCCAGCAACAATGCCACTAACGTATGTATAAATCTCCTTTTGCAGAGGGAAAACGTTGCTCAGAGGGATTAAATGAATGGCACAAAAGCACAGAGCTACTCATCGGCAAGATCTCAAACTGGAACCTATCTTTAGTTGACAAAACATGGATTGAATTAGAATGTGATTTTCCCTGTGGAGAGGGACCTCATCTGTGTTGTTCATTACTATATTCCCAGATCCTAGAAAAGTACCAGGTACTTGGTAGGTTCTCAATAAACATTTCAGGAATGAGTGTGTTGTAGAGAGGGAGAGAGAAGGTATATGTACTAAACTGATCTTTTCTATATTAGTGCTACTCAAAATGTGACCCATGAACTGGTGCTGGTCCACAAAATTGTTTACTACCAGTTGTCTTAGTCCATTTGAGCTGCTATAACAAAATACCACCGACCGAGTAACTTATGAACAACAGAAATTTATTTCTCACGGTTCCAGAGGAATGTGTCAGAGATCAAGGTGTCAGCATGGTCATGTTGTGGTTAGGGCCTTCTTTCTGGTTCCTCCAGTGTCCTCTTCTTGTGTCTTCACCTGGTGGAAATAGATCTCTCTGGAGCCTCTTGTATAAGGGCACAAATCCCACTCAAGAGGGCTCCATCCTCCTGGCCTAACCACTTCCCAAATCCCCATCTTCTAAACCATCATTTTTGGGGAGTTAGAATTTCAACATATGAATTTTGGAGGGACACAGCCATTCAGACCATAGCACCAGTTGACCGTAAGATAAGTACAGAAAATGAGAGTAAGCATTTAAATTGTGGCAACTTGGCATTGCTGTGACATACAAGGGAGTGATCAGTAGGCTTGTCTAGTTGAGTAGGGTATAGACCAGTAGAGGTGTTGTCCAACTCGTGTGAGTCACATGTGGTATGAGCTCTGTACTCATCATTTGGCATCTAATTTTTTTTAATCTTTTTACCCTCTCCCCCCCCCCGCCCCCCAGTCCATTTCTCCCACTCTCTGAGCCCCTGCCTCTGGCAATAACCAATCTATTCTCTAGATCAGTGGTTCTCAACCTTCTGGCCCTTTAAATACAGTTCCTCATGTTGTGACCCAGCCATAAAATTATTTTCGTTGCTACCTCATAACTGTAATGTTGCTACTGTTATGAATCGTAATGTAAATATCTGATATGCAGGCTGGTCTTAGGCAACCCCTTGAAAGGGTCGTTTGACCGCCAAAGGGGTCGCGACCCACAGGTTGAGAACCGCTGCTCTAGATCTATGAACTTGGTTTATTTTAAATTCCACATATAAGAGAGATCATATGGTATTTATCTTTCTCGGCCTGATTTATTTAACTTAGCATATTGGCAAGTTTTCATATTTTTTATGGCTAAAGAATAGATGCAGATATATATACCTATATCTATATCACAATTTCTTTATCCATTCATTCATTGATGGGCACTTAGTTTGTTTCCACACCCTGGCTATTGCAAATAGTTCTCAATGAACATGGGCGTACACCTATCTTTTCAAGTTAGTGTTTTTGTTTTCTTCCGTTAACTACCCAGAAGTGGAATTGCTGGATCATATGATAGCTCTATTTTTAATTTTTTTTGAGGAAACTTTATACTGCTTTTCATATTGGCTAGACCAATTTACATTATCAGCAACAGTGCAAAGAGTTCCCTTTTCTTCACATTCTTGCCAGCACTTGACATTTCTTGTCTTTTTGGTAACGACCATTCTAACAGGTGTGAGCTAATATCCCATGTGGTTTTGAATTGCATTTTCCTGACGATTAATGATATTGAACACCTTTTTATGTACCTATTGAACATCTGTTATGTCTTCTTTGGAAAGACATCCATTCAGATCTTCTGTCCAACTTTTAATTGGATTGGTTGGGGTTTTTTGCTTTTTAGTTGTATGTAGTCCCAACTGTTTATTTTTGCTTGTGTTGCTCTTACTTTTGGTGTCAGATTCGAAAGTCACCACCAAGACCTACCAGTATGTCAAGAAGCTTACCGCCCATGGTTACTGATTCAATCTCCTGACTAGTAATGACTGCTCAGATTTTCTGTTTCTTCATGATTCAGTCTTGATAGGTTGTATGCTTTAGGAATCTACTATCTAATTTAATCCTAACCATTTTGGCCATTTCCACCCACCTTAATTTCCTCCTGGATATTCTTTACTCTTTCAGAAAGAGACTATTTCATGCCTTTGGAGTAAAAGGGTAAGTAACAGATTTGAAATTTTCTCTATAAAAGCTCCCCCTCCCCCCTCACAGAAGTGATATCTAACGATCTTATGCTATGGAGGCATCATTGCTCAGTAATTAAGCCAGTGGGTCTCTGGAGTGAGACTGCATAAGTTTAAATGCAGGTTCTACTACTTATCAACCATTCACCCTTGCACAAATTGCTTAACTTCTTGTAGCCTCAGTGTTCTTATCTGTAAAAGTACAAAATTTAGTAGGGTTTTGGTAAAAACTAAGCGATCAGGCATGTACAATGCTTTTCACAATGACAAATGTTTTTTACATTATAGTAAATATTATCTATCATTTCATTCTGGGTTCATAAAAATTCATGCTGCTTTTATTTTTATTTATTTTTTTTAAAATATATTTTATTGGTTTTTTACAGAGAGGAAGGGAGAGAGATAGAGAGTTAGAAACATCGATGAGAGAGAAACATCGATCAGCTGCCTCCTGCACATCTCCCACTGGGGATATGCCCGCAACCCAGGCACATGCCCTCGACCGGAATCGAACCTGGGACCTTTCAGTCCGCAGACCGACGCTCTATCCACTGAGCCAAACCGGTTTTGGCTCATGCTGCTTTTAAAAGACTTTAAAAATCTTGACTATACAGGTAATTCTATAACTATCCAGGCTTGTAAATAAATGGTCAATTTTCAATTATTCACATTATTAAAAGATAATAAAGATCAGCTAATTCCAAAGTGCTTTCTATTTGTTTTCAAATGCATGGTGTGATCGGGGGACATTTGTCGCCTCAGTGGCTGTGAGAGCAGCTTCTCTCTTTAGCTGAGGTTATTTGGGTGGTGAGAGAAGGCAGTCGGGTGGGTGCGTGTGTGCACTGCGTGAAAGAACTTAGTGGGGGGGAGTGCACACACAGGTCATGCAGGATGTTTGCTGGGTGGTGTGTTTGCTGCCCATTTGTATGTTGTAATAACAGACATTATATGTAGGGTCCCTTCCTGCTAAGCTGCAGCCAGCTCGTTCTTTCCCAGTCATCTGGAGGGAAGCAGCTACTCGGCCAAGCAGCTCTGCGGCTCCTAGAAGGAATCAAGGATTTCTGTAGCAGGGAAGTTGGATAAGAATGAGCAACAGGCAGGACACCGCTGGCCGCCAATAAGAAAGCCCAGTGCAGGCAGGAGGCCAGAATGTGCCCACAGTCAGCAAAGTTCTTTCTTATCAGAAGGGAAAAGCTTACAGTCAACTACATTATCAAGGAGGAGGTTGTCCCCAGGCCAACCCAGCCTTCAAAAAATGGAGGGAAAAGGTATCCAAGAGGGCTTGTCCTCACTTTGTAGCTATGAGTTCACATCGTTTATTTTGCAACAAAACTCAAGCATATGTAATCCGTAAGTTAAGCAACCCGAATAGAGAGAGATAGATGCATTTACACAAGGCAGGATAGTGTGGTCAGGGTTGCTAGATTTAGCAAATAAAAATACAAGATGTCCAGTTAAATCTGAATTTCAGGGAAACAACAAACATGTTTTTAGTATAAATATGTTCCATGGAATATTTGGGGTTGTTTATCTGAAATTCAGACTCAATTGGGCATCCTATATTTTGTCTGCCAACCCTAAGTGTGGTTAAACGTGTTGGCTCCGGAGTCACACTGTGTGAGTTCAAATCCCAACCCTGCCACTTACCCAGCTGTGTGACCTTGGACATACTACTTAACCTCGCTGAGCCTCACTTTCCTTTTGTGTAAAATTAAGATAGCATTTACCTCATAGAGCTGTTGTGAAGATTAAATAATACACAAAAATTCATAATGGTAACCAATACATAGTAAATATTGAAGAAGTACTAGCTACTTTTCTAGGAAAGATAATGGTTATTTACTAACTGATTTTTAAAATTGACATTATAGTCAAAGGGTCTTTTTAAAAATCTAGGTGGAAATACCACCCTCCCCCATTTTCGTGGTACTTTCAATATTGTTAACAAATTAAATTAATACAACTTTCAGACCCACTGTCTATGGCATAAAGGAACATAAAACCAGCATCTTACAGCATCATCAGGCTTCCTGTTTGTTCCCTTGATGTCTAACACTTGGACCCAATCTGGAAGATGTCCGAAGCTCCCAATTCCCACTGAGAAACTGGGTGAGCTTTCATAATGTACTTGAGTATTTGCCAGATGAAACCCAGGAGAGAATGCTGGCTTTAGAATGGGGTTTGTTGCAATGGGATCCTGGGCTCTGTAGGTTATTTAAGAGAATTCCAGCTCTTGCACGGAGGAGCTATTAACAAAGAATTAAAAAGCACACAAGAGGAAGCATGGTGAAATGTGAAGAACAGTAGACCTAGAACCCAAAAATCAGGTTCTACCATTCAGAGCAAGTCACCTAACACTTTTGAACATTTGCTTCCTCATTTTAAAAAAATATTTTTTTTTTATTGATTTCAGAGAGGAAGGGAGAGGGAGCGAGAGAGACAGAAACATCAGTGATGAGAGAGAATCATGGATTGGCTGCCTCCTGTACACCCCACACTGAGGATCAAGCCATAACCCTGGCATGTGCCCTGACCTCCTGGTTCATAGGCCAGTGCTCACCCACGGAGCCACACCGGCTGGGCTGCTTCCTCATTTATAAGTGAAAAAAATCCATGCTACCTTCAAGGATTAGAATTAAGTTAAATAAGATGATATAATGAGCAATACCGCACTGGGAACAAGGTAAGTGTTCGATAAATATTTGTAATATGAACCTGTCTATTCATTAGAAGAAAGACCATACTGCCCTAGAGCAGCTTTACAGACATGAAGGCCTAGGGTTTGTGCTGCTTGATATGCTGAGCTAAGACAGGCACTCTTTCCTCTGTCCATATCTGCTCCTGGAGGAGAACCAATAACTTCCAAACAATGATACAACCTGAGGGGAATTCCAGCAAGGACTCCAACATTCCCATCTCCAGTGATGTGTGTGTGTGTGTGTGTGTGTGTGTGTGTTGGGGTGACGGGGGGGCAGTGGTGAGATAGGGGAAAGGCCAAAAAAGGAGTTGGCAATTTCCTGTGCATTTGAATAACTGGTTGAGCCAAATACCGAACGCTGCATGTAAAAAATATTAGCTTGGGGCCAGAAAGTAGAAAATGTATTTCCAGTACACTTATAATATTAATTTTGAGCTGAGGGAGCAAATCTTTAATTCAACCAGATTCAACAATGAGGACCTCGGCTTCCCCAGAGTTTGTACTGATTAGGCTTCTTACAGAGTAAGTGGAGGTAGAATGTATGGGGCAGGGGAAACATGGCAGAGAAAAACAGAATTCATGAGACTATTCCAACTCAGAGAATGAAATTGCCTGTCTTAGCT